TTAGTTTTTTTTTTCTTTTTTTTATAAAGTATTTTAGTCAGATCTGTAATTAATACTATAATTTATAAATATTTTTTAATAAATTATCTATACTAATTTATAAATCTAATAAATTTTAGTATATTTTTTATATTCTACAGCTTAAACTAATTATAGATTATTATAATATATTTCGGTTTTATATATATATTCTTACAGCTGATTAAAAATCTTAAAAAATTAATTTTTATTATTATAAAATAATACTTACTAAGTTTTATATATAATTCTATATCTTATAATATTTTTAGTATTTTATAAATCTATATTTTATATATCTTTAGATTATATAAATATATTATAATATTATTTAAATAAATAATTATAAAATTATCTAGATATTTTATAAATAGAAAATTTATAAAATTTTAAAATTTTATAAATATATTTATTAGTCTAAATAATATAATTAGATATTTAAATAGTTTATATTTTATTTAGAATATTATTTTTTATTTATATTTTTCCGCGATTCTAATTCTGTAGTAGATTTTATATAAATTTAATTATATAAATTAAAAAGTTTCTATAAATTAATTAATATATTTATTAATTTATAATAATAAATAAATATTTTTTATTATTTATTTATTTAATTTATAGTAGTTTATATATATTTATAAATTTTTATTTTTTTATCTATAAATAGAACCGGTGTGTTTATTAATAATTTAAAATACCAGATCTATTTTTTTATAAATATTTTTTATAAATAGTTTTATAAAATCTTTTTCTCCGTAAATAATATTTTGTATATTTATTTTAATTTCGGCCGGAAATTCTTACAGAAGTTAATTTTTAGATTAATTTCTAATTTTTATATAAATAAGTTTATAACTTTTTTTTTATAAATATTATTTTATATTTATAGTACTATACTAGTATCTTTTAATTAATAGTTATTTTATATATTTTTTTTATTATTATAAAATAAAAATTTATTTTTATAAGTTTTTTTATAATAATCTCTTCTGCTGTAATTTATAATATTTTTAATATATAATATTTACAGAACCAGAACTAATATTTATTAAATTTTATAATAGATTTTTATTATTTTATTTAAAATATTTTTAGAATTATTTTATTTATTTTTAATATTATAATTATAAAATCTATCTAATTCTTACAGTATTTTTAGATATTCTTTAAATATACTATAAATATTATAGTTTTTTTTAACTATATATCTTTTTATCTAATCTTTTCTGCAAGTATTTTTGCTGGAATAGTTAGCTATTTTATTTATTTAATAAGTATTATAAATATTAGATTTATTTTTATACTATTATTTATAATAATCTTAATTTTTATAAAATATTTTTTTTTATAAAGAATCGGCTATTTTTTTAGTTTTAAACTAAAATAAATTATAATTCTAATTTAGTCTAAAATAAGTACTATAATTCTGTCTACTAATTATTTTATAAGTAGTTTAGTTAATTAATAGTTTTTTATTTAATAATCTATTTTTTTATAATTATAATAAGTTCTTAATCCGGAGATCTTTACAGATATTTATATTATTAAAAAAATTATTTTAGTCTCTAAACTTTTTTTATAAGACTATTAGTCTGGGTTTTTAACTTTTAGATTTTATTTATAAAAATAATAGATTTATAACTTTTTTTAAAAATTTATTTATAAAATATTATATTTTTTACTTGTTTATATTACTAGTTTAATACTGGATGTAATCTTATAAATAGTATAATAAAATCTTATTTTATTATAAAAAAAATCTATTATTTATAAATCTTTTTTTAGACCGCAGAAAAAAATAATATAAAAAATAAATAAAACTATATAATATTAATATTTTATATTTTATAATCTAATTTCATTCTTATTTTCTTTTACTATTAGAAATAAATAAACTTTAATTTTTTTTTATAAAACTTAATTTTAAGTATTTTTAACTAAGTCTTTTATTATTTATTTATAAAATCTTTTAGTTATATTTTAAAAAACTTATAAAAACTAGTCTATTTTTTTTTATAATAAAATTTAACTGTCTTATTTTTTTATAGATTATTTAAAGTATGATTTAAATAAGTTATTATAATATATACTTTCTAATTTTTATTTTAGTTATTAATTTCTATAGTTAATTTCTATTTAATAATAAATATATAGTAGATAATATAATTGCGGATATTATATTATTTTTTATTTATAAATAGATTAATATATATACTGGTTTTTTTAATCTTTACAGTATTAGAGTTAGAATTTTTTAGATTTTTATATAGTTATTTCTTTATAATACTAATTTCTAGTTTATTTTAAATACTTATAATCTGTTTAAGTAATTATAGTTATTTATAAAATTTATAAATAAAAGTTTATATTTTTCTTTTTATTATATAGGATTTTTTTTTATAGTTAATATATAGTTCTTTATAATTAGATTAGAAAAGTTATTTTTAATTTAGTTTTATATATTATATCTAGTTATTATTTAATAGATTATTTTATAGAATATAAATAATAAGATTATAAAAGCTGAAGATAAAATAGTATAAAAAATAAATAATTTTTATAAATTTAAAAATACTATTTTTAATTAAAAGATTATAATCGGCTTGCTTAGTTATTATATAATTAATATCTGAGGTTATATATATATAGCTTTCCCTTCGCGGTATCCGCGAAGGTTGGAAGGGCTGGTCCAGCCCTTACAATTTTAATTAACATAATCTGACCTGGGCGTTAGCCACTCTAACTAATACCTAATATTTTTAGTTATTTTATTTATCTTTAAAGTAAATAATTTTAAAAACAGAGATTTCTTCTAACTTTAAGCTAATTTAACTAGATAAATATATTGTAATAAAAATAATATAGATTTTCTAAATAGCCTTCTCTTCTTTATTAATACTTATATTCCGCTGAAAGAAAATATTTTTATAATTTATTTTATTAGTATATTCTATTATTTATAAAGAGTAAGTAAGATAATCAGCTTTATTTTAGTTCTATTTATCCAAAATAAATATTAAAAATGATTTTTATCTATTTATTTTACTACAGACTAGATACTTCTATGTTATTTTTAATAAAATATTTTTTTCTTTCTTTTTATATATTTTAAGTAGTTATTTTATAGTTTAACTTAATATAGCTTAACTAAAAGTAACTTTAGCTAATTAAATTATAATTTATATAAAATTAAATATAATATTTTCTATGATTTTATATATTTTCTTATAAGATTAAGTCCTATTATTTATTTATTTTTATTTTTATTATTATTATCTAAATATATATTATTTTAAAATTCTCTATCTATATTTAAGAAATAGATTAATTTATTATATAGCCCGGTTATATTACTAGATATTATAAAAGATTATTATATATTAGAAAAATTACTGTATACTATAATAGAAAAAAAAATATTATTATATATTATAAAAAATTACTGGATATTATTCTATAATTTTAAGAACTACTTATAAAAAGATATTAAAATCTTAATTTTAAAACTAAAATAAAAGCTGAAATTTAGTTTTATTTATCTTACTTATAAATAAAAAATAGATATTAAAAATATGAAGAATACAGACTTCAGAATATATTAAAAATAATAAAGAAATTAATACAGAGAATAAAAAGATAGAGAAAAATTAATATAAAAAATAAAATAAAAAAAATAGTACAAAGATAAAAAGATAAATATTAGAAAATATAGAAATTGAGATATATTATATAAAAAAAAGATTTTATTCTCTAGTAAATAATTATATATATAAAAAATTAAAAAAACTATATTAAAAACATAAATAATAAAGTAAGACTTTAATAAAAGTAATATCTATTTTTAATAAGATTTAAATAAGATTATATTTACTTATATCTTAGTTTATAAAGTAGAATAGTTATATTAACAGTTTAAGTTACTTTTATTAATAAATATAAATAAAAAATATAGTAGTTAATATAACTCTAAGATTAAAATATATTATAATAATAAAATAGTATAAAAACTACTTTAAATCTAGTTAAAAATATAGTTTTAGTATAATCTATTATTTATATAAAGATTAGTACTCCTAGATTTAAAGAACTTATGATTAGTTAGAACTTTATACAACTTTATAAAAATTCTGTATAACCGAAGAAAACCGCAGTACAACCACTGTAACTTACCCCCTCGGCCCGCTATGTAGTAAGTTAAGTTTCAGCCCAGTATTTAATATTCTATTAGGCTATTCAATCTTTCTATGTACTTAAACTAGTTATATTTATCTACAATCGGTACCCTAGTAGAAAAAAGATTCTTATCTCTATTCCCCTCAGCCTACCTCCCCCACCCGCAATATCAAGGCTTCAGCATTTTGTAAGGAGTGGAAAAGTCTACCTAAGCAAAGGACGGCAGAAACGCCTAAAAGGAGAAGATATTATTACCTACCCTACTACAGTAGATAAGCAGTAATAGTGTCTCTTAGTTTACCTATTGATTTACATTATACTCTTTTACTGCTAACAGAATGATTAATCTGAACACCAGACTGTTATTAACCTAAATATCGCAAGCCTCCTACTGTATCACTATAGTATTCACCGCTGTAATATTATCCACAAATTCAACAGGTTTTCTCTCTTACAGTTACAGTACGCGGATCTCTATCACTCTCTTGTCCGGCACCAAATACAAGCTGCAGAAGGGATTCACTGGTGGTCATCTATCCAGCTACTAACCTCCCGGAGTGTGGCTTGAACGCAGCCAGATGCCGGAGGGTGCTTGGCGGGTGAGCTGAGGTAGCGGGCAAGCCCGCCATACCCTCGTCATGCGGACAGGTATTAAGTTAAAGTACTCTCATTGAATCCTTATTAGTAAGTACGGAGGCGAAGACGAGTAATAATACTTCAAGAATTACTATATCTACCCCTGTCCTCACAAAGCTATTACACTTGTAACACTATCTCACCATTCTTTTCTTATAGAGAACTTGTGGCTCTTACCTGAAACCCATTCAAACCTCTTATTATGTAGAAATACATTGATCGTAAGGGTTAGTCTGCTGCTAACTTAGCAGATTTGAAAGCATGCTGTCCTCATACCTTCGACTCCGACAACCCGTTGCAATCAAATCCAAAAACACACTTCCTTTGTGCACTCACATTTGTCGAATGTCCTAGAAGGGTTTCGTCGAGTTTGTGTCTTCACTAAATGGAACGCAAGTTACTCTTCACATCGGATCCTTCACAAAAAGGTCCGGAGGGATGATCAATCCCTCTGGCCTCCGTCCTCGACTGATTCCACCGTCAAATTTGATCGAACGCTGGGAAATGATCTTCCGAATACCCAATGGATCCTTCAGGTTGGCTCCAAGCTGGGCCCGCACTTCAATATCTACTTCCACTTCCCCGCCTCCCTTCAGGATAACCACTGCGATGAAATCGAGGTGCACACCGCCCCTCTGGTCCGAATTTTCGCGTAAGGTCCATATAGCCAGCTCAGTCTCAACTCCTGATCCACGAATTGACCGAGTGTACGATTGAACCCTTTCTCTCTCCTGTGACGCCGTCAAGCCCACCGTAACTGGAGGGTGGCTTAGGTCAAACCGCCCCTCGAGTTTGTTGCGGATGGTCACTTCACTTTCTCTATCGTTGATTTCCTGCGGCTGGAGGGTAGAAATAATGCGGTTATTGAATTGCAGCTCGATGTCTGCCTCTTTGACCCGCGCCCGGACGGGGTGGAAGACAAAGGCAAATACGAGTAGGATGCCGTCCCCCGCTCCAATTTTTCCGTACTCGACACAGCGTACAGATGCGATTACCCGACAATCTCTCACGGTAGTGTCGCTGATGAGGTCCTTATTGATGGGCTCGGGGTCGTCGAGTTCTTCTTCGGCGTAGTGGTCTGGCTCGAAGACGAGCTCATATTTCTCCTCTGTGCGACTAGAGTCTGCCATTGTCTTGAGTAACAATCTCGTGCTCTGCTGGCTCCGTAAAATCACAGGTTGGAAATCATCGACGTCTCAATTTCCGTTCGGAGGGGCACACGCTGCGGACTGCTGCCTCCGAAGGCAACCACGCCAGCCTTTTTGTAAAGGGATCCTGCTCGGCGCTTATCTCACCCGCCTCAGACCTTCCAGCTAAAGCTATTGTGATAGGATCCCATAAAGACCCACAGAGTGTCCGTGAAAATACAGTTCCAATATTTTTTTGATTATAACTTTAATAAGATCGCAACCACAGTTGACATATCGTATCTCTAGTTGATAAAGCTAATCATACAGCCGTCTAAAAATAAGTATATTTCCTATTATTTGCAGACAACATTTCGATCGTAATCTGAGGTTTCATTGAAGGCTTTATGATTGATTCCTCGACTTACTAAGATACTTTGGCCACATAGGTAGATAATGAGGCATGTGACAAGATGAGCTCCAATAAGAACGCAACAAGAAACACGGAAGGAAAATCGGAACTAGTGCACTAGTGCTGGAGAGCTACCATCAACGGCCAGTCCTAATGCCGGTGACGTCAATGACTTTTACGTTGGTATTCAGGATCGGTCTCGATCTCTCTTCCGTACTCTTAAATTCTTGTATATCTTCTTAAGTGAGACCTTGCTTGGCTGATAGCTCTAGATTAATATGGGCTTCCTAGCGTGTGTCATGACACTCTTACCTTCGAGTAATTCCTATCAAGTCTTGAAACTACAGTATTTTTCATCTACTTGACCTATCTTTCAATCTAAAACCCCGTGATTATGGTTGTGTATTGCAAAACTTCAAACTAAAAATAGTTTTGGATTTGGAACCACAATTCCGCAGATCTCCTTTCAAGGGGGTACGATGCTGATCCATGCAGCTCTTTGTAGAAGTCCAAAAAAAGTATGGTTCCGACTACCCCACCCTGGGATGGACGATCATCTGGTTGTTCGCTCACATCCTACAAAACACAATCTTCATACACAACGTTCTACATAATAGCTTTTTTCTGCTTGGGCATCAACCGCTCTTGTTCCTCCGCCAGCTAAGTAGATCGCGTATTCCACATTTTCACCGGGAAATGAACTCTCTAAATTCACTACCGGATGCACAATGGTGCCGGGAGCGGTACCAGGAACTTCACACGGCGAACATGCAGGCCTCTCAGCTTCCTGCCGTGATCGAGGGTCTCCAGGCTCTCTTCGAGCGAGCCATACCGCTAAACGAATTTCGCGTTGCGGCCGGGTGTGCTATGTTGCTGAGCCTTGACTACAAGAGGCTCGGGGAATGGGCAAGTAGCATCAGGTGGGCTGGACAAGCCAGAGACGTAGCCATGGAACATTTTGGTTGGCCAATGGCCTCAAATGCAAGTAAGACGTTGGCACAAGTCACATACGATTATGCCAGAGATTTGCCCTCCTCAGAAATCTTCAGTCAACTCGTCTCGCTCTTAACCGATGGCGCCGAACGGGACGGTAGGCATCACATGTTCGAAGACCAGGCGGACAAGTACGGTTTCCTTAGCGATGTTGAGCTAGTGCGTGCCGCAAAACTGGAGGGCGTTAGCACCCAGGACGCCTTTCAGAACTCACTAACTTGGCTCGCCGAGGCCGAGGTTTTGATCCCTCAGTTACCCGAGGAGCTGCAGCTTTACTACATGGCCGAGAACATTTACAAAAGATCCAACGCGTACTATGCCATCAACGACATTTCGACTGCATTGGTGTACCTTCAACATGCCTGCAATCTGTTCCAAGAGGCCGGCAAGGAGCGCGAAGCGGCCCTTATGAACAAGAGGATCGGCCTGCTGAACCTGCTCTCTGTCGAGCGCGACACTGAGACCACTACTTTCTCGCTCAATGAGACCCTGGAAAGATTCCAGCGGTCAGAGGCGTTTTTGAAAACTGTCGGCTTTCAAGAACAGCTTGCTGATTGTCATCTTCAGCAAGCCTGGGCGTGGGAGAGAGCCCTTCTTCAAGGCCACGAAGGGGCGCTCGAGCACGCCCTGAGGAACCTCGATACAGCGGAGCAAATTCGGAACGAAATCCGCATGGACTTCACTCTTCGGCGAGACGCAAACTCGCTGGTACAAAAACAAGCTCTCGTCAGCCGGAGCGCGGATTTGTACACACTCGGGTTCGAACTAAGCCTAAAAGGGAACGACACTCGCCGGAGCTGGTGGTGGCTGCAGCAGGGTAAAGCACGAGGACTCCTAGACCTCATTGGTTTCGGGGCCGACATGCCCAAAACTATCAAAGCTGATATTTTCAGAGACAAGACCGCGTCGAGGTTGTGGGAGCAGGAGGCCGCAATTCTGCAACAGTTATCCGTCACTCCTCCTGGGGACCGCTTTCGGCTAAGAGAAAGCTTGGCCAACCTGCGCCGCTCGATGAACAACCACCGAACCCTACATCCAGCGCTTGTGTACCGAGGTGCGCGGAGCCTTGAGCTCGACCAGCTGGAGAGCATGTTTGATTCAAGAACTGACGTCGTTTGCGTCGACTGGGCGGTGGTACACAACAAGCTACTTATGGTGTCAGTGCGACCCGGGCAGGAACCGAAGATCTCAGAACTTGAAATCCTGCTCAGTGATGTAGTTTCTTGGATACAGACCAATATGCGGCCTACACGTTTGCGCCAGAGTTCGGCCACTGATAGGCTCAGGAATATCGATCCCCTCGTCGCACCATTGGCCACAAATTCCAATGAGGGAGAGCTATTGGTGTTCTGTCCAACTAATATCCTGTCTGGCCTCCCCCTCCATGCCTTAAATGTGGGTCAGCAGGTGATTATTGAGCGCAACCCGGTCATATACTCGACGAGTTTATCAATACTACAACACTGTCTGCAACGACAAGGCAGGGCCCGACCAAAATCTTTAAGTGTTGCGATACTTGCTGATCCTACGAGCGACCGAGCAGCAGCGACCGAGTCTGCCTCGAACCTAGGATCGCAAATGAATACAGATCCGCTTATTGGCACAGCGGCGACCGCACAAGCGTTCAAATGCGCGGCCGAGCGCGTAGACATCTTTCACTACCACGGCCACGTCAGGTTCGATGTCAACGAGCCGCTTGAGTCCGCATTCAAGCTTGCGGGAGAACAAGAGGTTACGGCTCGAGACCTATTCAGCATACAAATGCGCCCCAAGCTTTTCACCATGATCGCGTGCGAGAGCGGAAGACAGAGAATTCTGCCCGGTGACGAGCCGCTGGGGCTGATGCCCGTTCTCTTGCTGGCAGGAGCCAACGCCGTGGTCGGGACGATGTGGAATTGCTGGGATACAGCGGGCAAGGAGTTCACCGAAAGCTTCTATCACAGCATCCACCTCGGTTGGAAGAGTAGCAGCAGGTCTGACCAAGAACCGCTGCCGTCGTCTGCTATCGACCTAGCGCTTGCGCTTCGCGAAGCCGTGCTCGGCATCCGTAAACGACGGCCAGAGCCCTATTTCTGGGCACTCTTCGTCCTCTATGGAAATTGGAATTTGGTGTCCTAAGAAAAGCATCCTGATTGCTCAAGAAAAGCCGCTTATTATCATCAACTGCACTTCAGGCTGTATGAGAAGGAATGTGATTCTTTCTGATTCGAACTTTCAAAACTACAGATGATAAGGCCTCAATTCTATCTGAATTGATAATTTATGTACGATATCTCGCTGAAAATTAGCTGCGACCCGTCCTCAGTAGCTGTTCCTCACGTTCAACGAAGATTGACCAACTCATGGGCCGCCAGGCGTTCTCTTCGCCGTTGTTACTGTAAAGGACTGGGCTCTCTACAGTTCTAAGATGTTGAAAGCCAGAATAGGCCTTTCACGTATCTTCGACAGCAATCGGCATCTATCCGACGATAGTTCTAGACCATTCAGACCCGGCTGGGATGAGCTGCATTTGAAATACGAAGTCGGAAAATAGACTGCCCCATTTCCCTGGGATACCATGAACAGTTTCTTTCATGTTGTAGTCAAGTGTGGGGCAGCTCGGGTCTGAAAGGCGCAAGTCTCGAATCCCGTCACCCGCTCGAATCCATACAACCATGGTGACTTTCTGTTCGTATATCAAATTCAACCACTTCATAGATAGAGTTCTCTTAGATATGTCATCTCACTATTATATTCTGATCTAGACGGCTTAGATGAGTAGCGAAGGCGCCACTGCTATGAAGAAGTTATAAATGCTTCGCATGTTTCACCTGAGTTGAGGGACAGGGAGGGTTCAGCTCCGGTACCTTCCGTGCAGTCTATCCCTGTGCGAAACTCAAGCCGTGTAAATCAATCAGATACCTTCCCGACCAAGCCTGTAGGACTATTCTTTTCTCATTCTTTTGCTCACCGAGATCATTCTCTAGGAGAGTGATTGAGTCTAGTAGTGTTGATATTACCAAACAAATATTGTTGACGGCGGCCCTGCGGCCGCAATGGTCTTCCGTAGGTGGCCTTAGCTAGTTCCGGATAGCCTCACGTAGCCAGAATCCACCACCATTCCACATTTCCATCTATTGTCTCTGTTATCGAGCAAATACAATACCAGTACTTACTGGTGAACTCGGCAATCGATCTTCTGAAAATGTAAGGTATACTGTTGTGCATACAGCTAACGTCCAAAACAGCTATAAGGATACCACCAGTATTATGTAGCAGTCTAATGAGTAGCTTTTCCCCCGCAACCAGGGGTTAGCAAAGGTCCGTGTTGACGGCCTCACAGAGATACACAAAACATGTATAACAGAAGACCTGCTAGTCTCTTCCTAGATGCTATGGGACTGATGTCCGGGTATAGAGCTCTGTCCTAGGCGCTTTAGTGCCTGAGGCCTCGAGTCCTACCACTAGCTAGGCTAGACTAGCCCCTGCCTACCGCACATAAAAAGAATTTTGTACAAACGGAATAAATAGCTAGACGTGTTGACAGCATGTGTAGAATTAGAACAGTCCACTACTTACGGTTCTCCATTCACACAGTGTCTGTAAGATAGCTTAGTATCGTCAGCAGACTATTGACCCGTGCTCGCTTATGAAGTAAACAGCGGGGGTGACATGATAACCAATCCCAAGTTCGGAGTGCCTGAAATCTGGAATTTCAGAGGCTGAGGCCAGAAGGCACGACCCTTGGGAATTGCCCAATCCTCCCTTCTTCGCCACTATGACCGATCTTGAGGATATTTCGGGTTTCGGTAGCCGTCAAAGGACGAAACCCAAAAATGAGAAAGCTGATCTGGGACAAACCAGACTCTTATCGGACGACCCAAAGAGAGGCAAAGCCTATCACCGAGCTGACCGCGCAATTCGAGAAGCCTGAGGAGGGACTTGATCTCCGCAGAATATTTGACAATTAGGTTGGAAAAGCCTCAACTGTACTATGAAGGACCCATGGTCCTTCACATGGCCATATATCACAACCAGGTCGTCGTCACCTGGTGGTGGCTGTTGTCGAACGGGGGGCGTTTCACAACCGATGAGGTTAGTCTTTGCAGAGGGGATGCTGGAAGCCGTAAGTAGGATAATCTGAGTCTGACGATGCTCGAGCTTCCCGGCAATCCTCCGCACATTGTCGAGCAGGCCGCAGTCCCCGATAGTGATCAACCGCCAACGCACCCAAAGATGAATGAAAAAGAGCTTGTCCAGTTTCAAGGATCTCTCGGTGACGACCATTGACGTGTGTGAGAACGAGTAGGATGTCAAATTTCGTTACACAAAGAGAACAGTTTAGCAGATCATCTATGATCCGTTGGTGGTAATTTGGGGTAAGTGCGCCTCGAAACAGGGTAAGCAGTCACCCTAGTTGTGTAACAGTTACACAACCTTCTATAACCTATATTGAAGTAACAAGTAATCTAGGAGAAGTTGATATACCCTCTATCGAAACACTTAAGTTATATTGGAAACATTAAGCCCTGTTCATACTATGAGTGCTGTACTGGCACCGCCTTGCAAAAGCCCTAACCCATCAAGATGATATTAATACATGTAATGAGCCGAAGCAGACAAATATGATACTAATATATTAATAAACAACTAGAATGGGTAAAACTCAAGCTTTAAAAATCACAGCCGGCTTCTGAGCCCTCAGCACTCTCAACTAGAGTGGCTAACGGCCAGGTCAGATTAGGCCTCGCCACGGGTCGGGTTTGGGTCCAACATTATGACCCGTACCTATGGGTCGGGTCTGAATCCTGAATCCAAGATCCAAATCTGCCAACCCGCGGGTTGGATATATCAATCCGCGGGTTACCTACCAAAAATCTATTTAAGTATAAAATTTTTTTTAAACTATACTAAGATATATAAAAAATACTAAATAATCTGATTTAATTTTTATTTTTTTATTCTGTATTAATATTAAGATTTTATAATAGTAGTTCTTTTTTTTTAAATTATTATATTTATATAAAATATATTTAAAATCTGCTTATATTAATATAGGCTACTGCTTTTATTTATAAAAATAACTACTAAAAGTATTAAAATTAAAATATTAGTATTATTAATAAAATACTTTTTATATATAGTTATAAATATATATTTTATAGAGTAAATAACTCTTTAAAATTATTAGATTAAATAATAATTCTATTGTTTATATTTTCTAACTTATATTATTTAATAAAATATTTTTATATTATGTTTTATAAGTTTTATTTAACTAATAAATCTCTTTAAATATTATAATATAAAACTAAAATATTTATTTTTTTAATATTTATTATTTTTTCTGTTTTATCTATTCTTTCTAGTTTATATAAATAGATTAAAAGGATTTTTAGCAGGTAATAAACAGATTTTATAAATTTTTAGCAAATAATCTATAAATTTTATAATTTTTAGTAAATAATCTGTTTAATTTATAAATTATTTACAGATTATCTATTTATTTTATAATGTAATTAGTTTTAATCTCTTATTATTTTTAAACAGATTAACTTTTTTTATAATAAGATTAATATAAACTATTAATTTAAAGATTAAAATATAAAATAAGAATATTTTTTATTTTTTTTTAATCTAAAAGATCTTTTTCTATTATAAATTTATAATCTTATTATTAAATATTTATAATTTTATACTTTAAATATTCTAGTTTACTAATATTTATTTATTATTATATTACAATAATTATTTAGATATTTTTAATAATAGCCCGGTTTTTTTCTCTAATAAAATTATATTTAATTTTTTAATTAGTTAACAGAATATTATTTATAAAACAGACTTTATAATTAATTCTAATTTTATCTAATTAATTCTATTATTAAATTTTATATTTCTTTTAATTATATCTATTCTAATTATAATAATTATTATATAATTTATTCTAGTATAACTACTAATAATTATATTATTCAATAGTTTTAAACTGATTTCAGTAAAAAGTAATAGATATAATAAAATATAAAATATTTTTTTAAAATCTGAAATTATTTTATTTAAGTTATAAAAGCTTTAAATAATAATCTAAAAATAATATACAAATATTATAAAAAGATATTAGATTATTCTAGTTTTAAAAATAAAACTTTAACTATAAAAAAATATATTATTTTATATATAAAGTAAACTAAAACTTATTATATTTAAAACTTTATATAAAAAATATATATTATATTATTCTTTTATTTATAATAGTAAGTATTAATATAAATAGTTTCATATAAATATCTAAGTTTTAGCTTACTATTAAAGTTAGCTAACTAAACTAAAAAATTAATATTTTGTAATTTCTTACTGAATTATAATTACTGTTTTAATTTTTTGAATATTTGAGATTTCGGAATTATATTTCTATTATTTAGTAAATACTAAAATAGTTTAAGAATTTTTTATCAAAATAGTGCAGCACTGCTTGTAAAATATAATTTTTAAATATTTTTAACAGATTTTGAATAAGCTGTTTAACAATAATAAAATCTTACTAGTATTTAATTATTAGATATTATCTTTTTAACAAGCTTTTATAATAATAACTAGCTATTTTATTAATTATAATTAAAACTATTATAAAATATTTCTTAAATTTAAATTATTATATAAACTATATTTTAAAAATTATTTAGACTTTATTTTATTTTAATTATTATAATAATATTATTTAATAAATCAAGTTCTTACTATTACTACTAATAATATATTAAATAATAATATATTATTAACTAGTATTTAAAAAATTATCTAAATATTAGATTTTAATAATAATATAATAATTATCCGGGTTTTTTATATAGCTTATATAATTTAGTTAAACTTAAAATAGTTTTTTAGTTAGATAAAAACTGATTTTTAAAATAATACTACTAAACTTTAATAAACTAAAAATTAAAACTAGATAATATAATTAAAATATAATAAGCAGAAAATTATTAATATACTAATAAAATTAATTAGTTTTATTTTTTTTTAAAAAAATATTATATTATTAAGATTTCTACTACAGCTTTAAAATCTTATAATTTTTATTAATATTAGTTTTTAATATAAAAAAACTTTTTATAAGTTATAGTCTAATTTAC